TTACTTGGGGACCAGTCATTATTTATTTTGAGAACCCGATGTAATGGGCTGCATCTTCTCGGTTACAGAGGAGGTGAGAGTCCCTCTATGTCGTCTCCTGGTGGATTGCCTGTGGCGCCCATTGTGTTCTGGTTCTGACGCTCATTCAATCATAAAATGCTCTCTCTTCCACCTTGGTGAGCGGTTTTCTGAGGTGGGAGCAGATTTTTTCACATCCACAGAGACACTGGTTGCAGGGACAGGGAGCATGCTCATCCCGTGTGCTTGTGCATGTATGTGAGCGTGCCAGCGTGTGTGCATCTGCAGGTACATACCCACGTGAGTATGCGAGTATGCATGTGCATGCGTGAGTGTTCAAGCATGTGTGCCAGCATGCACCTTCCTACAGGTGAAAGTGTGTGAGTAGACACGTATGAGAGCATCGGCACATATACATGCACACTTAAGTGTGAGAGTACAGATGTGCATGAGTGTGCTTATGTGAGCGAAGGTGTGTGAGTGGACACATTAGCGTGAGCATGCATGAATGTGGACGTGTGAATGTGCCTGTAATATGTATACGTATGAGAGTGTGAGTGTGTCTGTGTGCACGCTTGAGTGTGAGTGTGTGTATGTGTGCCCTTAAGTCCAGCACAGCACCATGGCGGCTGCCCCTGGTCTCCAAGCTCTTGGACACCGAGTGAACCCAGGGATCTTTACTGGATGCACCTGTGGCCAAGCGCACCCTGGAGGTGACAGACATGAAGTCCTGGGGGACATCCCCTCCCCGCTGGGTTGCGTTGCATGGTTACTTTCTCTTCAAAGTGTTTACGTGAAAAAGGCAGACGTGGAAAATCCCTGCGCTGATCATGTAGAAAAGTAAATATGTCTTTGTAAAAACTGGAGGAAGAGACCTCACTGGAGATTAAATTACGCACACACACACATCCTTCTTGTGCCTGTGGGAAAGGGAGTTTGAGGGAGAACCGAGCTAGAAACAGACTGTCATTTTTGAGTTTTGTCTTTTTATTGTATGAGTTTTAGTATAAAGAGAAAGTGTGTGTGTGATGACAGTTGATGGAGAATTCCCCATTAGCATGAGTGCCCAGCTGGTAAAATGTCTTGGCTCTGCTGCCCCCCCCTGGGGGGGGGTGGTGGCTGGATGTCCTGCTGGTGGGCTCTGTGCCCAGACAGGGCGTGGAGTGGAGCGTGCAGACCTCAGCCTTCGGGGCTGACTCTCCCCTTCACTGGCGGTGCGGCCTCGCTGACCCTCAGTTTCTCCTTCTGTGCCACGCGGATAAGGGACCTACTTCCTAGGGCGGTTCTGAAGTTGAGAGGAAACGGTGCACAGCACCCATTTCCAGTTTTAAAATGCACCCCTATCCTTGGTTTTGCCTCCATGCGTCACAGCAATGGCCACACATTATAGGAGCGAAACGTTCTGAGAGATCATACAGTAGGATATCCTAACAGAGGCTCACCTCACGTTCTTAAACATTCAGATTTACCTAAATTATAACAGTTTCTATTTATTCTGTTAGGGCTAATTAAATTTTATTTTCTTGACTATTCCATTATAGCTTTAAAATGTACTCTTTTCTTACTGAAACTTTCTCAGCAGTCGGTGAGCGGGCCCTGTTCTCCTGGTTTTCCGTAAAGGGCGCGGCCTTCCCGGTGACTGGCGCTGAGCCCCCTAACTGTGCGGTTGTTGTCTCCAGGTCCTCTCTTTGGTATTTGTTGTCCTGGCATGTGCCAGTTTGCCATTAACCACGCAAACGCAGCAGCTGATCGGCTCAGAGCTTAATCTACCGAGAGCAGAAGGCCTAGCAACGGGATGCCGGCGCCGGCTCGGAGCTCCCTCCTGGGAGAGCGTTTAGTGTTTCAAACACAAGGGACTCAGACTTCTGGACCCTCAGCCAAGATGGGTCTTTGTGGCCCTATTTGGAAGCTTCCTCCGCAGAACTAATGAGACCTTCATGTAATGCTCAGAACCGTGCCTCGGTTGTCGATAGCATGCCCTGAAAGGCAGCCCGCGGGGGCAGTGAGACAGCAGCCGCCAGACAGTATTTCACAGGAAATTTTAAATCCATTTCACATGCAACAGGACGGCTGCTGGAATAAGAGACCAGCCATCAGCCTGTCGCCCTTCAGTGTGTTTTCTTTTACTCCCGTGGCCCTCTCGGGATCGTGCTCACGGGTTTATAGTCACACAGAGTGGTGGTCTTTATGGGACAGGCCTGTGTGAGCTGCCGCTGTGGCTGCATTGCGAAGTTTTGTTCCGCCACTAAAAGCGTCGTTCAGGGGAGCCCGTCGTGGTCTGTGTTGTCCCGTCCAGATGCTCTGCATAATGTACTTTCCCGCTCTCCCCGGGTGGTTCGCTCGATGCTTTTCCGTGTTAAATCCTGACAAGGAATGAGCATCTCTGGGACCGCAGCTTCCTGGCCCCCAGGCAGGCCCTGAGGAGCCATCCCTGGGTTGAGGTGTAGGGACATTTTCATGGCTTTGGATCTGAACTGTCCACTTGTGGGAAGGATGCTTTTCTGAATCCGATGGACCACTTTGATTTGACGCTCTTTTCTCCTGCCAGTTCGCAACGATAAGGTTCAGAGAACACTTTGTAGTCGGGTCTGAAGTGTGTTTTCTGCGTAACAACGAGATGGGACCCAGCGATGTGGCCCAGGGGTGGGTATTCACCTTTCCTCAAAGATGCCATCTGCCTGGAGTGAGAATGGGCTGTGACATGCAGGCGCCCCCAGGGACACGGCCGTGGCAGTGGCAGGCGTTACCGAGAAGGCATAAGGGACTGCTCCCTGAGAGCGCAGCCTCTGAAGCCGTTGCCACTGTCGGCAGCACAGGGAACAGAAGGGCCCTTTCTCCAGCCCAGGCGGCCCAGACCCTCTGCACTTCTGCCCAGGAGAGGCCGAGAGCCGCCAACGCTGCCCAGCCATGCTCAGCACCCTTGGGCTGGCCCTGCTGCTTCTGCTCAGCACCGTGGGCTCCAGCCAGGCCAGCAGCTTCACAGGTGAGGGCTCTGGGCTCCATGTGGGTGATGCTGGAGGAGGGGGGCTCCCTGGGAGGGGGTCTCAGTGAGTGAGGACAGCGGCCCTGCCGAGAGCTGGGCAGGTGGATGCTTCTGCTTTGCGAGAGTAGCATCTGTCCCTTCTCAGCAGATTTTCTTGTAGCCACAGAAGAGGTGGCATGTGCCTCCGAATCACCTGGGGGCTGTGAGTTCAAATTCGGATTCTGAGTGGACGGTCCGGGTGGGGCCCGGAACTGTGCATTTTGCCGGTGGTGCGGGTGATGCAGGCCCACGGGTGACAACGAGAGCAGACTCAGATGAGGTCTCTGCACGTTGCAGTCCTCAACTTGCAGACCTGGAGGCCCAGGTGGTAAGGCCATGCAGCCAGCTGAGGGCCATTTCTACCAGGCGACTCTGATAGGGAGACGGGATCATGAAGTGGACTCTCTGTCCAGCTGCCCCTTACCTTGGGCTCTGCCAGCCCCCCGTTGCCTCAGTGGTAAATGAGGGTGAAGGTGGCCCGTGGGGGAGCTGAGTGAGGGCCCCTGTCCAAAGGTTCTGAGAGGCACATGGTCAGCTGCTAAAAAGCATTGGATTCCTGAAGCCCCAGATTTCAAAGGATTGAGATCGGAAACCTTTTAAATCACTTTCCTTGTGAAACCGGTCTTGTTCTGTTGGGAACTTAAACAGGTCCATTCTGTTCCTATAATCAACTTCAGTTTTGCTCTGGTTTCAAGTTTTTCCCCCTTAGGATTTTGGTTTAATTGTGCTCGTTTTCCCTTGATTTTCCCTTTGGGATGGGTTATGTGTGAGCCGCACAGCTCAGCCGCAGAACGAGCGGGACTATCGCGGAGCCAGAGGGGACCCAAAGAGGTGTTTCATGACCCCTTGTGACACATGCAAGTACACAGGGGCAGGAGCTCAGTGACGCCCAGGGTCGCACATCTGCTTGGTCTCATGTGCTCAGTGCTGCCTTTTCAGGCATCATTCCAGTTAATAGGCACCATTCCAGTTAATAGGCACCATTCCAGTTAATAGGCACCATTCCAGTTAATCCTACAGCCCAGGGCATAGCTGCTACTTTACCAGTGACAAGACCGGGGCACCCAGNTCATTCCGGTTAATCCTATAGCCCAGGGCATAGCTGCTACTTTACCAGTGACAAGACCGGGGCACCCAGAGTGCATGAAATGGGCTCAAAATCACACAGCTGGTGTATGTGACGCTGGTGTGAACTTGGGTCTTCTGACCCCAGGGCCCAGGCTAGCTTTGCAGCCTGAAGATGTCCCACCTCTGAGACTGGAACTCAGGACCCCGACTCCTACGCTGATGGCTCTTGAAGGGCTTGGAGAGGACCCCGGTGGCTTCTGGGAGAATGTAAACAAAAAAACCAAGCAAGTTAATCCCAAGTGCAGTTCTACAGGAGATGTGTGTGAGTGTGTGNGAACCCGGTGGCTTCTGGGAGAATGTAAACAAAAAAACCGAGCAAGTTAATCCCAAGTGCAGTTCTACAGGAGATGTGTGTGAGTGTGTGGTGTGTGCGCTAATGACCGGCTAGGGCTTTGTCACCAGCAGGTGGGGACCAGTGACTCTCTAGAGATAGGGACGAGATGCCAACGTTCATTAGTGGTTGGCGCCTCATCTTAGGTTAAGATGAAAAACAAAATCTAGGTCCACCTTGCCGAGGTCTCCGTGCGGGAAGTCCTTGCGCTTTGCCTTGTTAGTCCATCACTTTCGCGGTGGCCATTGGACCTACCCCCTCATCCAAGTCTCCCCTAAGCTCTGGGCCAAGTGACCCTGGTCTCCGAGGCCAATTTCTCCTGCCCCACCCACATAACAAGGGACCTCCCATTCCTTCCCCAAGCTTACTGTCACCACCCTTTTGGTGGAGACGGGCAGTGGTGTCTCCGCTCCCAGAGGCCCTGCCACCTGCAGGGGTGATGGGGAGGCAGCCAGGTGGCTCCCTCCCTGTGGGTGGGCTGATTCAGCACTGAAGGGGGCCACCTACTCCAGTACAGCCCAGAGTAAGGCTGGGGGCTGAGGGCTGGCTCAGTCCATTTCCTCCTGGGGAGCACTAGCCGCTGAGTCTCGCTTTCTGCACACTTGGGGGCTGCTGTGCCTCCACAGGAGGGACTCTTCAGGGGCATTGCCCCCTGCTAGGGATACAATAACTTATGCTGCAATCCTGAGTTCCTCTCCAGAAACCTAGCCTCTCTCTGAGGATTATCACTATGAAACTGAGCGCCTACCCATTGGCCATACAGTCTCATAAAGCTTGGAGCTCAGAGTTGGTAATCTGAACGTGTGAAGTAGATTCAGATCATGCTTTTATTCTGCACTGAGCCCTGAGTGCAGAGAGCCCCGTGCTGGCCACGTGAGCTCCCTGGGCTGCCTGGCCAGTGCCAGAGGCTGGGGCTTGAGCAGTGGAGATTTATTCCCGCACAGTTCTAGAGGCCCGAAGTCTGAGATCAAGGTGTCTGCAGGTCTGGTTCCTCCTGTCGGTTGTGAGGGAGACCCTGCCCCGTCTTTTCCCCTAGCTCCTGCTGGTTGCAGCCAGTCTTGGGGTTCCTCAGCTTGTAGAAGCATCACTTTGACCTCTGCCTTCACCTGCACATGGCCTTCTACCTGTGCCCATTCTTGTCTCTGTGCCAAATTTCTCCTTTTATAAGGACACCTGTCCTATTTGATGGGGGCCACCTACTCCAATACAACATCATCTTAATTATATCTGCAAAACCCTTGTTTCTAAATAAGGTCACATTCTAAAGTGGTGGCAGCGAGGACTTCAGCATATGAATTTTGGGTGGGGGTCACAGTTCAGCCCATAACAGTCCCTGCTACATGAGACAACAGAAGCTCCCTGGACAGATGAGACACCCCAGGGCCACACCATCCAAGACAAAGAGGCACAGGGCTGGCAATGGTAGTGGGTACCACAGGGTCAGAGAACCGAGTGACCATGCTGATAAAGGGGCCGTGGGCACAAAATCCACAGTGCCACCCTACAGTGGGCACTATGCCCTTTTCTCTCGATAACGACAGTAACAGTCAGACTGAACTTGACCATCTATGACCCCTCACGTGTGCTTGAGATTTCCGTTTATTTATCTTCCATCTCATTCCATAAAAGGGTGCTTTGCCATCTGAGCCTGGTGTGTAGCAGGTTTTCAGTATAGAGCTACTGTGGTCATTGTTACTGGTGCATTTCCCATGTGACAAACTGTGGCTCATGGACAGTAAGAGACGTGCACAAGATTTTCCAGCTGCAGAATCTCAGAGCATGAATCAGAAAATGGGGACCCGAGCCCTAGAAGCCTGACTCCTCCGTGTCCCCCGGGGCTGCGGGCAGTGTGGCTTGGCCCGGTGGCAGCTCCGCGTTCTGTACAGAGGTTTCTCAGGCGGCAGGTCTCTGATTACGCTTTATCCCTCGGAGTTCACGCTGCTGCGCTGACTTCTCAGCGGGCTGGAGGGCAGATCCTGAGGGGCTACATGAATGCGGGGATCTTGTTTCACTTGCTCCTGTAGAAGTTAGATAACCCCTCGCATCGATGTGACTCTGCTGTTTGTTCTTTCTTTGGTTCCTCCCTCCTTCCTTATAGACAAAGGTCTGTCCTTACTGAGCTACCAGCTGTGCAACTATAGTGTGACCCAAAATGTCCAGAAAGTAGAGGCCGTCCGGATGTCCCATGTGACCTACGCCCCCTGCGGCGGGTGGATCCCGTGGAGGCGGTGCCCCAAGACCATTTATAGGACCCGGTACCTGGCAGTGGACGTCCCCGAGTCCCGGAATGTGACCGACTGCTGCGAGGGCTACGAGCAGCTGGGCCTCTACTGCGTCCTGCGTGAGTCCAGGGCTGTGGGTGGGCTGCGGGCCACTTCCCATTTCTTCCCCCAGGGATAGTCACTGTTCACATGCATTAGCCCTGAGCTTGCTAGATCCTTCTGGAACACCTGCTCTTAACCCTGAGCTTCAGGATCATCTGGAGGGCTGTCCAAGCACAGACCCCTGGCCCTCCTGCTGGACTTCAGGTCCAGCAGGTCAGGGGTGAAGTGCAAGTTCCCGGGTGATGCTGATGCTGCTGGTCCGGGGGCCCTGGTTTGAGAACCTTTGTTCTGTGGTTCCCAGACCTGGCTGCGCTCCGATGGCCCCTGGGCAGCTTTAAAAACACCGATGCCCGGTCCTGCCCTCAGAGACTGTGATGGACTTGGTCTGGGGCATCGCTCAGGCCTTGGGATGTTTTTAAACCTCCCTAAGCTACTGACCAGTAGCTGAGTTTGAGAACTAATGTTGTAGTCTCTTCTATGTTGGCAGTTGCCCTTCTCTTTTTAAAACTTGTAGTGGATGCTTTTTTTTTTTAAATCTGAAATCCTAATCTGAGCTCCAATATGTGAATGAAATGGGAGGGGTCCCCTTAGTCCCCCCTACTGCTCAGAAGCCCCCAAGTCCTCTTAATTCCTCATTGGGGTTTGGAAGGTGCTTGGGTTGGTTCCCAGGGTGACTGTGCCGGGCCAACGTCTGAGGCCAGGTGGGCTGTGCTGTGTGTGGGTTCAGGGCTCAGCCTCTCCGCATGCAGGGAACTTTCCAGATCTCTTCCAGGGGAAAGGATGCATATGTGAGTGTGTGTGGGTGGTGGTGAGTGTTACATATGAGTCAATACCAGATCTCAAATGAGTTCTAAGCAGTCAGAAGGTCCCCCTGTCCCCACCCATCATGGGGAGAAGTGGGAAGGGTGTGACTCCAGGGAGTGTCAACGGGGTCACCCCGAGTTCTGAGGGCTGCCACCTCCAGTGTGCACAGAGCCCCAGCTCAGGGGTTCCAGGAGGGGATCCCACATAACCCATACCTGGGGCCTGAGGCCAGTACAGCGTCAGGCTAAGGCATGGACATCACACCCCAGGGGTGCAGACCTCCTCCCCACACCAGCAGTGACAGGATGTAGCCCTGTGTCCCGCAGACCTGCAGGAGGCTGCGTGGGCTCTGCACGCTGAGTCATACTGCGCCTCCTCCCTCAGGTCCCCCAAACAACTCAGCAACCAATGGTCTAGAATGGGAAGAGCATTGAGGACATGTGCGCTATTTCTTTCACTCTAAGTGACTTTTTAATTTTTAAAAAAATTCAGCATTAGGAATGCAATGGTAACTCATACATTATTTTATTTAAAAATGTATCTTTTTACTATAATTACAAATATGAATATACGAGCCACGCAGAAACGCTGGAAACAGAGAAGAATCTCACAGGGACAGGAATGCCTGCCACTTTCCAGGGCCCCGTTCAGAGGGTGGGGACAGAGATTTCCTGACCGCTCGGGGCTGGGTCTTTAAATGACACCATTATCACTAACACTTGCCACCACCAGTAAAAACCAGGTAGTGCCACTGACCTCAGGGTCCATGGCTTGGTGCCAGTTGTATTTTCCTGTTGGTTCTCTAAAGGGGCCCTCGAAGGGACAGGCTGTCCTCTGGAGGTCCCTCCCAGGTGCTGGGTGAAAGGAGTCCCTTCCTGTGCTGACGCCAGCCCCCGCTCCGCTTTCCCTGTCTTCAAGGGCCACATGCACGAAGGGGCGGCCAGCTGAGCTGCTGCCCTGCCCTGGGAGCAGCTGTCTTCCTGGGAGATGGGGGTCCCACTGTTTGTGGAGGCCTTGGGGCCCGTGGCATCTTGGTATGGGCACCAGAATCCAGCGAAAGAAGGCAGGTGTGGCCCGCTCCATTTGTCTTCCCCTGTGAAGGCCACACAGGTCAAGATCTGTTGGCTGTTGTGGGGGCTAGTGAGGTCACAGTCCAGCGGCCCGAGGAGGACCCAGGATTGGCTGAGCCACACCAGCCACACCAGCCACACCCTCCAAAGGGTGACCTTTCTGTGAGGGCTGTTTCCCTGCTGAGCTAAACAAGTAAAGTCCCAAAGGAGAGACGGCAGGGAGGGCTGGTGTCCCGTCCCCACCACCTGCCCCCACCACCTGCCGCTCATCTTTCTTCCCCTTAACAAACCAGCCATTAAATGCCTCTCATGGGATATCAGCCCCACTTTTAAAGTGTTAGCACCTTTAATTAGGAACTCACCAGGTGGCTGGAGGGCCAGAACATTCTAGTGAGAGAGTCCCATGGGCAGGGCTGCTCTGGGGAGCTACAGAAGGGGTGTGGCTGGAGTAGGGAGAGTGGGGACATTGGGGGATATGCTGAGCACCTCTGCCTACCTCTGCTCTCAGGGCCAACGCACTGGCAGCTGGAACTGCCCTTGGCGGAAGCATTTATACCACGGGCATTGGCAGCATGACCTTCTCCACGCTGGCACAGGTCCTTCTTCAGGGCCTGACTGTGTGATTAGAGCTCGTTCTGAGAGGCCTAGTGACAGGCTGGCTCTTTGGAACCTGCAGAGATTCAGTCTCTGGAAGTGACTCCCCCCCCTCCCCCCCACTGGTTGTTTTGCACAGAATGGGGCAGAGGCCAAACCCTGGATGTGGTAGCCATGGGACAGCTTGGAAATCTGGAGTGCAGGAGGGCCTCCAGGTCCCCCTGGGCATGGGGTGACTTATGTCTCGGCAACCCTGGGCTCTCAGCTTAGAGGTGTCATCTCCAGGCAGCAGCGAGACCTGAGACCAGCTTCCTCCTCTCCCCTCCCACTCAGCAGCCGATTCACTAAAAGGGGAAGAGCGTTATGAGCACACAAGCGATGTGCCTTTCGGTCTAAATGACTTTCAATTTCTAAAACCTAGCATTTGACACAGTGATAACTCACACATTGTGTTCTTTAAATGTATCTTTGTCCTATCATTACAAAAACGAATGTGCCAGCCACGCAGGAAATCTGGAAACACAGAAAAGAACATAGGACATCGCCCATCAGCCCCCCCCCCCCCCC